GGAACACAATAACTGTCATTTTAATTGATTTAGAATGTTCACACTTGGCATAGGTGTCTATTAGGTGAAAGCCTTGATGGAGTTCGAAGATGAGAATTTTCGGCTTAGGGTAAGCAGAGATAAACAATTTGATTGGTTGATATACATGAGACACAATAACTTTAATTAAGTTAGAATGAGGAAACTTGGAGTATAGCTTTATTACATCGATTATGAATATTTTCTGTTGAGAGTAAGCAGAGAGATAAGCAATTTGATTTGTCGAGACTTTGGAACACAATAACTCTCCTTCTAATTGAGGTATGATGATTAAACTTGGTGTAGGCGTTCATTAGGTGAATGCCTTGGTGGAGTTCTATGATGAAGATTGTCTGCTTACGGTAAGCAGAAATAAGCAATCTGATTGGTTGATGCTTTGAGGCACGATAACTTTGGTTATAATGAAGTGAGAGCGATGGAACTCCGAATATAGATTCATTATATCATTAGGGCAAATCCACGGTAACTCTCATTACAATTTAGGATGCATTTCTTTGAAAATGTTGCTCTCCGCTGACAGCTTTTTGTATTAGAAACCCACATTTCTGTACATTTGCAGTCATTTGCAAGTATTTAACTGGTATGTAATAAATAAAAAAAAAATTCAAATTCAGAGAAGATGAGGTGCAAAAATGTGGCGGTAACTCACATTAAATTTTTCGGACATACAATTCAAATCGTTAGCTACATTTGAAAAAAATTCCTATATGCATTATTTGAATTAAATGATTATAATGCCAGGTAAATACAGGAATAATCAATGGTTCTTTTTTACCATTTAGATTTTTACCTCTTTAATTTATATTTTGCACAGAATCCTTGATTTCAGAACTCACATTACATAACTCACATTACACTTTGTCCACCATAATGTTCTTCAGCAAATTTCAGCTCCAAATCATCTGGTTAAGATAGAGAGAAACACAAGCAATATATCAATGAATATTTTGTTTATTTCAAGAAAGCAAGAAGAATTTAACAGTAAAAGTCGTAACAAAAAATAACATTCTGGTGTAAAATTAAAAAATAATAATTTGGCATTAAAACACGATAAAAGTTTAAAAATTGAATAATTTAACAAAAAATAAATGCATTTAACAAACCTAGTTGAACAGTAAAAATGCAAACCAACACTAACTCTAAAACACATAAATTGACAGCTCTTTAGAAGCATGCTGGAAATTTAAAGTGTCATCTACTATTAGCCACTTCTGGTTTATCAATTTTTTTTACAATATTTTCTCTTCGATAGAAGATCACATCTAGGGGCTGTGGCCATTTCCAGTTTGCACCAGCCGGTTCCATTACGGAGACTTGGTAGTCTCCCTGATCACCATAGGCAATTACTTCACCAGGGAAAAACAGACTATCATAGTTAACAACATACCAATCCCCAATTTCAATATTGTTGGAAGAACTTGTGGCTGAACTAGATGTTGATGCTGATGAAGAAGAAACTTGAAAATTATCATCTTTAGTGATTGTATAAGTACACAGGCCTAATTGTTGATCAAACTTGATGTGATGCATAGCTGCTATGCCAGAAACCACTGTTGCTTCTGCAAAAATACTTTCTAAATTGAGTCTTTTATTTCTTCTTTGTATGTCATCAGATGTCAGTTCAGTAACAGTAACATTCTGCATTCCATGGGCTGCTTTAGTGAATGTGGAAGCATTAATGACAACTGCTTTTCTTGACAATACTTGTTGCCAAACATGACGCTTAACAGCACCTCCTATGCCATCAACGGGTCCTTTCCCGTGTGATGTAGCAAAATAGTTCCAGTCAATACTAATGTGGTGTTCTTCTTGTAGCCGTTTTAATGCAGCACATATGAAACGATTTTTAAACTGTGACCGTGGCCCATCAAACCATATGGAGACTGACTTTATGGTTGCTGGAAGGCTTTCAAAAATGTTGTCTAAATAAGCAATGATTGTGTCTTTTGAATGAGTCAAATTGTCCGACACAATAGCACCAGAATGAAGCTGTGCAGAGTGCCACAATGCATAAGTGAATATACTGACTTGCCCTTGGTGCCAATGGGCACTCTGGATTTCAACTTGTAATAATGCCTTTGTTTCATCATAATTCAGCACATCATTGTGTTGTAAATTATATGCTCTTGCTTGTTCCCTCTTGTAAAAGCAGTGTTCTAGAAATGGTGGCAGAATGTCACAAAAGTATGCTAATAACTCTGTGGTGAGACTTTCTTCAGAGACTTTTAACATCCTACCATTTTGTTCTGTCCAGTGGGTCCATTTAATCAATTCTTGATTTTCGATGTTCTCCACAGGGTAAGTCTTTTTGAAAATAGCAGCATCTTTGCATGTTGTACATGTGTTCAACCAGCAGCTTCTACTAGATGGTTTACAAATCAATGTTTCAGGTAATTCATAGCTGTATAATGGTAAATTAATAACTCTATGAAGGACTTCAACAGCTAATATGAAATTTTCATGATATTTACACATGCAAACATTGTGAGGAATTTTACTGCTAAGATAAACGTGAGGAGGTCGTAATGCGGCAAACTTAGATTTACCAATCTTCTCAGAAGGAAATTCTTTCTTGAACAGTGCATGTGTTTCTTTAACAGACGAAAGCAAATGACGTATTTGGACTTTTGTCTTTGTACCATCATCATTTCTAATGATTACTGTATCTTTGCGACCAGGGGCTTGTCTGCTTATATCATGTCGATCATAAAATTTGTCGACTAGCTCTTTAGTTGATTCAGAGATTTTATTACCAGTAGTTGAGGTTTTACTCTGTACTGATAATTCTACATTTGGCTGTGCTTTCTTCTTGGAATCCTCTACAAGTTTCCGGCAAACAATTGTTCTCCGTTTTGGTGTTGTTGGTAAGGCTCTACGAGCCCTTGCTGTGGCTTTTAGAAATGCCTGTAGACTTAAAAATGCATGGTGAGAGTTGCTTGATTCGAATTCCTGTTTTTTCTTCTGTCTGAATTTTGCAACTCTCTTCCTGTCCTTTTTTCTTTCTTCTTCTATCTTTTGCACTTTTGGTTAACACGTCTTCGGCTTCTTTTAATTTACTTCTACTTTTCTTGACCTGCAACAAATGTTTCTTCTTGTACTCATCATATTTTCCACTGGCTTTCAATTTCTCTCTGTATCTTCTTTGTTTTTCTGCTTTAGTTAAAGGCATTTTATAAACCTGAAAAATAAAAGAAATTTTTGTCAAGTTCATTAAATTTGGTTTAAAAATGAAAGAAATGTCACCCTAGAAATACTTGTTATCAATATTAAATTTCTTCAAATATCATAGCTTTCCATAATTGCCATAAAATTATAATTATAATAATGTATACTTTAAATATTGTGAACTGAATGTTATCAAATGACCTAGTTTTAAAACACATATTACACTTAAATGTGTCAATAATACTACTCAATATTTCACAGTAACCCAGAAAAAGAAACATTGTTGAAACTTACTCAGTAAAAACAATAATATTCTTTATAGTTTCTTGTTGATTCATCTGATTGCTGTTGGATTTAATTTTGGACCCTCCATAAAACTTTTTTTGAAACAGGAAGTTTTGATGCATTCTGGGAAATTTCCTGGTAACTCACATTACACAGTAACTCGCATTACAGAGTTTAAGGGCAAATAAATGATTTTTGAGAATAGTTTAAAATTTTTTAAGGGTGTTCAAATATTTCTTATGTACCTGAGAGGGAATTAATAGATAATCAAGATAAAGAGTTGCTTGGTTTTAGAGATATCAAAATATTTGTCTCTGGTGGTAACTCACATTACAGTAATCATAGAATGTTTAGACTTGATGTAGATGTTTATTAGGTGAATGTACAAAAAATCTTGTTTGTTTTTAGCTTGTTCTCTATCCATCTCTTGCAATATGTGAGCGTATCCTGCCTGGCAGCCGCTGGTTATCCAAATTCTTAACTTAGTTTTTATATTTCCATTTTGGTTCAGTAATTTTATATATTCATAATTTTTCCTTTGACTATTTACATAGAAATGTGGACGTATATTGCCGTCACCCTGTCCATCCGTCGTCCACAATTTCTTGTAAACTACCTCTAACACCAAAAGTTATCATCATATTGTTTTAAAATTGATATATGTTGTTGACATTAATGAGATGAAGAAGCCTATTAAAGTTATCATCTCATCCGATCTGTATGAAATTTATATGTGTCATTTAGATTAGTAAAAAGAAGAATTTTTTACAATAATTTACAATAATTACTTCTAGAGTTATGGCCCTTGTTTTACTTTGTGAACCTTGTGAAATTTTGAATGACAAACGTTATCATACGATCTGTATGAAATTTATATGCATTTTTTAAATTAGTAAAACGAAAAAGCCTGTCAAATTTCAAAATTTTCTGTAAATTACTTCCAGAGTTAAGGCCCTTGTTTCAGTTTGTAGAACCTTGTGAACCCTCAAATGACAAAAATTATAATCGGATCTGTATGAAATTGTCTTGTAAATGCTCCCAATTACCTACAAAAGAACAAATATGCGTCAACCCTTGTCGACTGCTCGGAAGATTTAGCTGCTGTGGGCATATGTTTCGTTGTCTGGCAACGTATCTTTAATCTTATGTATGGTATCTTCTTTAAGTTTGTAAAGAGCATCGGGGCACTTAGGTGAAAGATGCGCTATAGAAAAACACCATTATATAATTATAATAAAAAGATATGCCCACATTTTGCAAGAGATAGACAGAGAACCAGCTAAATAGATAAGTTTCCAGGCAATGAAACATACGGCACAGCTAAATCGTGTACCCCAAAAAACCCAAGTTTTGTTTTTTGCCTATAGGACCCCTCACAATGGAAGCACTGTGCCTGCAATACTTAAATCTTAGGCAAGACAGTAATTCAGAGGAAAGTAAACTATTTTTGCATTTGTCTTTATAATGGTGTAATTAGATTTATTAGGTTTTTGTATGTTATTATTTTACAGATACTGTAGACAAAGAAATTATAATTGTGTATATATATGTGGAACAGATGAATATGGAACAGCTACAGAGAATAAAGCTATGGAAGAAGGTTTAACTCCACAACAAGTCTGTGATAAATATAATAAACTACACACTCAAATATATGACTGGTTTAATATTTCCTTTGATTATTTTGGTCGTACAACTACTAAAGAACAAACAAAGTTAGTTATATTTTTGTCCCCCGCGTTTCGAAGAAAGCAGGGGACTATTAAAATAGGTTCGTCCATCTGTCCGCCAGTCTGTCCGTCACACTTTTTGGGACACAATAACTCTCTTTCTAATTGAGCTATAATGTTCAAACTTGGTGTAGGTGTTTATTAGGTCATGTCTTGGTGGAGTTTGAAGATGATCATTTTCTGCTTGGGGTAAGCAGAGATAAGCAATTTGATTGGTTAATGCTTTTGGACACAATAACTTTAGTTCTAATTAAGTGAGAGTGATGAAACTTGGTGTATAGTTTCATTATATCAATATCTTGACTAAGTTCGATAATGAGTATTTTCTGCTCAGGGTAAGCAGAGCGATAAGCAATTTGATTGGTCAAGACTTTGGAACACAATAACTCTCCTAATTGAGCTGGAATGTTCAAACTTGGTGTAGGTGTTTATTAGGTCAATGCCTTGATGGAGTTCGAAGATGGACATTTTCTGCTTAGGGTAAGCATAGATAAGCAATTTGATTGCTTGATGCTTTGGGACACGATAACTTTAGTTCTAATCAAGTGAGAGTGATGAAACTTGGTGTATAGTTTCACTACATCAATACCTTGACTTATTTTGATAATGAGCATATTCTGCTCAGGGTAAGCAGAGCGATAAGCAGTTTGATTTGTCGAGACTTTGAAACACAATAACTCTCATTCTAATTGAGTTAGAACGTTCTCACTTGGCGTAGGTTTCTATTAGGTGAATGGCTGGATGGAGTTTGAAGATGAGAGGTTTCTGCTTCGGGTAAGCAGAGATAAGCAATTTGATTGGTTGATGCTTTGGGACACGATAACTTTAGTTCTAATTAAGTGAGAGGACAGTTGGTGTATAACTTTATTTCATCAATACCTTGACAAAGTTCGATAATGAACATTTTCTGCTGCGGGTAACCCGAGCAATAAGCAATTTGATTGGTCAAGACTTTGGAACTCAATAACTCTCCTTCTAATTGAGCTAGAATGTTCAAACTTGGTGTAGGCGTTCGTTAGGTGAATGCCTTGATGGAGTTCGATGATGAACATTGTCTGCTTATGTTAAGCAATCTGATTGGTTGATGCTTTGGGGCACGATAACTTTGGTTATAATGAAGTGAGAGCAATGAAACTCTGGATATAGATTTATTATATCATTACCTTGACTAAGTTCGATGGTGCAAATTTTCTGCTTAGGCTAAGGAGCGATAAGCAATTTGATTGGTCAAGACTTTGGAACATAACAACTCTGCTTTTAATTGTGGTAGAGTGTTTAAACTTGATGTAGATGTTCATTAGGTGAATGTCTTGACTGAGTTCAATGATTAACATTTCAAGCTAATAAAGCTAAGCCGAGCTAAGCAATCTCTTTGGTCAATGCTTTGGGACAAGATAATCTTGATTCTATCTGATAGAGAGTGATGAAACTTAGTGTATAGTTTGATTGCTCAATACCTTTGAAAAAAATAAATGTGCGATTAATTAATATGTGACATCTATTTATTTTGGGATTTCGGCGGGGGACATCAGCCTCACTGTTGGCTTGTATTATTTATTTTATGATATAGTAACATGATATTATTGATATAGAAACACAGTAGAGATTGTTAACTTGTTGACACCTAGACCTAATTAAGTAACTACCCCTTTATCTCCCTAAGCCAATTAACTAGACAGTAGCATATCTCCTTGGGGCCAATTTAAGGATTATCCATTAATACCATATATTGCAGAGAACACAAAATAACTGTCCCTTCGCAGATTTGTCGGGGGCGTTACAGGTTATATGGTTCTAATTTGAAGACACAAATGATAAATTGTCAGAACAAAAGAATAAGTATATACACATACAGAAAATTTAACTTACTCTCTATATACCCGGAGATATTCAAATTGGGTTCTGACTGCTGGATATTTATAAATGACAACATTAGTCAAGAAATATGTTTTTGAGAGATTATTTAAATTTTGTAGAATTGTACAAGATATATTTTGGAAGGTATATAATGAAGGTTATGTTATGAGAGATAGTGTTGATCAGCTACATTGTGAAAAATGTCAAAGGTAATAACATCTATATATATATTTACAGTATTGCTTGTGTAAACTCTTCAAATTGAGGACACAAACTTGGAATTGATCTTCCTATAAACTTCAGGCTTTTTATTAATGGTTGGGAGGGGGGGCGGAGTGGATGGCCGAATAGTTAGCATGTGCTCGTTGTATCATAAGGTCTGTATATTGAGTCAACTGGCGTGGTTTCAATTCCCCATTTGTACGTGACAAGGAGTAAGGTCGCCTCGATTGGGAAGTACCTAGGTGCAATAATAAAATAAAGTTTGGTCGTATATTGTCGCTGCCCCCATCTGTCCGTTTGGCGTCCACAAGCAATTGTGGACGGTTTAGAGGCTATAGTTAATATCCGATTGACTTTAAATTTATATACAGTGTTTAAGGTCATGAGACAAAAAAGCCTATTGATTTTCAAAGTTTTCCCATAATTACTGCCAGGGTTATGGCCAGGGCTCGAACTAGGGGGCGACGTGGGGGAAATAGTCGCCCGTCCATCGCTAATTTCGCCCTCCAACGACCCCAGAGCGAAGTTGAAGTCGCCCTCATGTCGATGTATATTTATTGAAGGGCAGAGTTATTCTAGAGAGATTTACCGTACATAAACAAACACATGTGACTCAATGTGAGGCTCGAAGGGAAATGTGAAAATTAGACAGGTTGTGAATAAGACTGGGAGACGTATTTCTACATTTATTTATTAGAAACTAGGCAAAACTATTTTAACTGTTTTTGTTCTGTATACAAAGAAACTTTATATAAAATGAATACTATTCATGGAAAGTTGCAGACAATGCCATAATTTGTGCTTGAATGCCATAATTTGTGTTAATTTTACTGATCATCGGCTTTCACAAATGTAATTTGAGTTTGCAATATATTTTATGTAAATAAACACAGAGAAGTAGTAATAGTGTTATTTGTATGTTTAGGGTATAGATATCTACCGATTTTGGTAAATTTGTATGAATATCGGTAAAATTCTAATTATCGCAACAAATCTAATACGAAGAGGCTAAAATTTGTAGATACGGTGTGTTAATTATAGCTAGAGGTGAATATCTCTGCGATGGTGTGTTTTCTGTACTGGGTGTGTTAATTAACAAACGGGTTAAAAACGACTGACACGGTGTGTATTCTTTGTTTGGTGAGTTTTCTCGAAAGCGTGTTATAACTGCACGAAAGGTGTTTTATGAAGGACTAGAAGGCTTAATCGGACGTGTAGGTGTTAAATCCAATTTACCGTGCGATTTCTTGTTCGACCGCGTGTTTTACGCAGATCGGGGTTTGTTTGTGTAGGTCTTTATACATGGATTTATACGTGCTGTAGTTACATATGTGCTTTCTTATATACGTATTTCATTTCTTGATGAATACTACGTGTTTTATACTTCATACCATAGTCGAGCTGCAGTTATTTATATATTTATCTTTTTTTGTGGGTTTAATTTGTTTATATATTATCGTGCGTACCAATGAACTATAAATGCACGTTATTTACCGATATCCGGACCAACCTCCATTGATATCAGACTAATGAATCTGTTTTGAAAGCAAGTTTATAAATATAAAATCGTGTAATTAATGAAAACCTATTGATTTCATCATGTCTATATTTACTACACGTGGGCGTTTTAATTTATAAATATATTGTTTCTTACCTGGTTTGTAAATAGGACTATCCAAGAAAAAAGTAATTTCCACATATATAGCAAATGATAATTCACATATCAAATAACACTAATGCAAATAGGGAAATGCGCCCGCGTTCACCCGCGGTTATCGGACTATGTATGACCTAAATCTTTGACACGTGTCCATATAGCCGCTTGTGATTCGATCAAACGTGTCACAAAATTGTCTTTGCTTACAAAAAAGGGGCTTTATAAGAAGAGCTAAATTTAAACACATGTTAATATTTCTATTGTTGACGATTGTATGAAATAGTTTATTATTTTTCTCCTGGTACTAATAAACTAGGGGTCGAGTGGATCCAATTTTTATTATGTAATTTATATACCTGATAACAGATCAAGAGCACTGGCTCCATGTGTCGCCAACTTGTTCTATTTATAAAAGCATGCAATCACCTTTGGAAATCAGTTTCCAGTCTAAAACGACTTTAAAATTTCTTTTGTTATTTCGGTTGCTTTATTTGAAGAAATTTTCATAATATGCCATAGTAATTTGGGATTTTGTTTTTGAAATAGCATAGGACATGTCCGAAATATACGGACGAATTCCCAACACTTAAGAAAAGGAAATTAGACGCGATGGGTCGACCATACCCTGTAAATATGAACTCAATCGGCCGACCCCCACCTTCGAACCTTCTGCATGGTTTTCTCGTGGAATGGCTCTTAACTGCTTAATTAATAAATTTGACAAAGAAAACTATTTCAGAACAACAATAATTTCTAAAATTAAAATATCTCTAGCTGTGGCGTTTGTTCGTTTGACAAATTACGCTTTTACACAGAGTCATATTTTGAATTTTGATAAACCAAGGTTCATTCAAGAAAATTATTGTTGTGTTCTGATAAATTAAGTTTATCTGGGCCCTGTTTCTCGAAATCTGGGGGGGTGGATGGCTGAATGGTTAGCGTGCGCGCGCTGTATCATAAAGTCTGTCATTGAGTCGACTGGCGTGGTTTCGAATCCCCGGTTGTACGTGGCAAGGAGTAGGGTCGCCTGTCCAGCCTCGTGGGTTTTCTCCGGGTCCTCCGGTTTCCTCCCACTGCCAAAGACCCCTACGCACAAGCGAATTATTGAAATAAAATTAAACCATATGTTAGTCCCGAAATGACCTAGTTTGTGTCGAGTGGACGTTAAACCCCATTTCTCTCTCTCTCTTCTCGAAATCTTAACTAAAGATAAAATCGTAAAACAGGCCCCAGGTTTATAATACACATTCACTAAAATTGTTGAGCTGCGGTGATGATCAATTTATTACCCCTAATAAAGTCTGGCATTTAGCAGTTGTTATATAACATCTAGGTCAACAGTGATCCAAGTTGGTGTTCAGTGAAGCGTACTTCCTGCTCTGATGGCAGTTTGTGTAGTAATATGTGACTTGGAAATACATTTAATAATTGAACAAATTCAAGAAGAACAACCAAAGGCATCAAATTTTCACATATTTCCAATACGACTATTTTTTTTGTTTTGAAATATACTGTAGAAAAATAACTTAGTCCTATAGCTTCAGTACGGCATGATAATATCGGCATAGTAGCACAGGGAAAAGCCTTGCATCTCTCACATTTCAATGTCATCACGTTTTCTAGCTCACTCTTAAATTCCAATTGTTGACTATGTTTCTTTTGAATTGTCCTAATATTCCACAAAATGTTATTATTGGAGCAGAGCTAATACGTATAGAAGCGAATGCTTCGGCCCATACCAACTGCCAATTTAAGAAAAAATAAATAAAGCAGATAATTTATATGTTACAATTTAATTAAAACGTTTAATTATGAAGGCTTATGCATATCAATAATGTAATAATAAATAATGGTATTGCTTGTATTTTTGTCTTGTCTATATTACTTGTTTGTTTGAACATTTCTCTGATTATAACATAATGGCATGGGCTGTTTTTTTCATTTGAGATACCAACCGAAATTTCCTATGAGAAACAAAATAAATTGTATACATGTTAATAAAATATCAAGCTTTATTTAAATGAGATGATAGAAAAGTGAAGCATACATTTATATCATTGCAGTAAGACCAACACTGAATAGACCACAATATGCACACACATGACAAAATTGTCCTTTTTGTTGTACTTTGTCATCCTGGAATAAATTGTCACAGGTAAAAATAGTCACACTCCAACCAACTATTTCAGCTAATCCATTTAGAACACGAACTAACAGTATCGCCTTTCTGTCCGAGAACAGTGTCGCCTTTCGGTCTGAGATCAAAGAGAAATTTCGTGTGAAAAGCGTGCTGTCCAGATAGTATAAATTATATAATAAGAATGAGACTGTACCCACTGTACCTGTGGTTTATCAGTGCCGTATAATAATAAAGCTATTTCATGCAATTGTAAACGATGGGAATATTAAGTTATGTGTTTAAATTTAGCTGTTCTTATAAAACCTGTATTTCCATAGGTTGTCATAGGTTGGTATTGTGCATGCAAAGACAAGCTTGTTACACAAAGTGTGATGGAATCAGAGAATACCAGAAGATGTTTGACGATCAGCTCCACGTGTTGGAAGCGGACGCGAGTCTGTATTATTAGACATGATTAGTGTTATTTGGTATGTGATTTATCTATTGTTATATAGTGATGGAATTCTGTTCCCTTGGATAGCCCTATTTACGACCCAGGTAAGAAATACATTTATAAAATATAACGGCGATGAATCTTACAGGTTATCATTAATTGCGCGATTTTTTGTTTATAATTGTGCTTCAAAACAGATTAGGGCATCTGATATCAATAGAAATTAGAATATATTGGATAATCAAATGGAGGTTTGGCGGGATATCGGTAAATAACGATATTGCGTGCGGAAATATAAATAACTGCAGCCAGACAATGGTACACAGTATGAAACACGTAGTATTCATCAACAAATGAAATGCGCATAGATTACAGAAGGCACATATGTAACTACAGCACGTATAAATCCATGTATAAAGACCTACCCTTAACAAAGACCGATCTGCGTAAAAATCACGGTCGAATAAGAAATCGCACGGTCAATTTAGATTTGACACCTACGCGTCAGATTAAGCCTACTAGTCCTTGATAAGACACTTTTGGTGCAGTTATAACACGCTCTCGAGAAAACTCACCAAACAAAAAATACACACCGTGTCCGTCATTTTTAACCTGTTCGTTAATTAATGCACCTAATACAGAAAACACACAGTCACAGAGATTTTCCCCCCTAGCGAATATTAATTCAGCTTTCAGTCAATTTCTCACCCCTGTTAATTAACACACCGTATCTACGTATTAGATTTGTTGCGATAAT